TAGAGCACTTCTCGATCTCACCTGCCATATTTTTGTTCTTTCTTGTCTTGAAGTTAACACTGCGATTACTTGTCTTGTCTATTTGCTTCATTACAGTTGTTTTGCTTACTTTTGTCTTTCGTATATTGTCTAGCTAGTATTATTTTTGCCCTGTTTTTTTCTTGTCTTGAGGTCAGAACGCTGCGATCACTTGTCTGTATCCATTTTGTGTTTGAACTTTTTTGCCTCATTACTGTTGCTTTGGCTTTTTTTACCTCATTACTGTTGACTTTCGTATATTGTCTACAGTGGAGTAATGGATAGCGGCTCGAAGTGAGGAATCAGCGAGTCGAGTTCGAATTCCAGTCGAATCCATCACATTCACTTACGTGCTAATACCCTTGGAAAAGGAATGTATCCTATTCTTCTCCCCCCTCCCCCATCTATGGATATATAGCAGGACAGACCGGGTTCTATAGCCTTGGATGGTAACAGGTCTACCGCAGAAAGAAATGGCAATCTGTCTCGTCAGTCATGTATCGAAAGATACATGATCGCCTAAGCGTGTATCAAGCATGGCACATAACTGACATTGTCTACCTAGTATTATTTTTTGCCCTGTTCTTTTCTTTCTTATTTTTTATTGTTAATTGCAAACTTTATCAATTCTGTTGGTTGGACATTTCTGCCAATTACATGGGAATGAGAAATGGAGCTGTTTCCCGATGCTTTCTTCATAGTTTTTTTTTCTGAATTCTCCTGGCTTGCTTGGTATCCAAAGCTAGTACTATTTAACCGTAGCAAAGCGATCGATTCATGCTTTTCCCAATGGTAGTTGTACGAAAGTTAACAAAATTGTTTAGGCAAGAATTTGAACTCGGCTCGTCGATACCACTTTTCGCGCCGATAACAGTTACGCCACACATACACACAACTTTCATGGTTCGTTGTAAGTCCGAATAACTAAATAAGGATCACAGAGAAAATCTTTTATAATTCTAACAGGTTTAGCTTTCATTGTTCCTTCCTCAAACATTTTTGGAAATGAATTGTGGAAGAGAATATTTCGATATTTCGAATTCTGTGCTGTTTGCTTTCATTGGTCAGGTAGATTCCACGTGTTTATATCTTGTGACGTTAGTGTGTGTGTGGGGGAAGAGAGGGAGCGAAAGAGAGAAAGAATTCTAATGGGCGTTTTTGTGTCTCGTGGTGTGTGTGTGTGTATATGTGTGCGTGTGTGTGTGTGAGAAAGAGAGAGAAAGAATTCTAGTTGACGTTTCTTGTGTCTCGTGCTCTATGTGTGTGTGAGAGAGAGAAAGAGAAAGAGAGCATTCTAGTGAGCATTTTTTCTCTGTCTCGTGGGGCCTGTGTATGTGAGAAAAACAGAGAATTCTAGTGGGCGTTTTTGTGTCTGTCTCGCTTTGTGTGTGGAGGGGTGTGGGGGGGTTCGCGCGCTTAATTCCTGAAGATGGTAGTGAGAAGATATAGAATGTATACCTAATTCCTGAACACGGCGTGAGGTGTCTGCTAATAGCATCAGTGCGTGTGTTCAATGTGGACCAAGTGTACGTTATTACTTTTGGAATAAATTTTATTGCCATGATTGATTTTCTTATTGAGGAAAAATTGTATGCATCGGGAAATATTTGGTTTCCTAGTGAGTATGGCTATATTGGAGAGTGTTTGATTGAATTTTATTTTCATCATCATTATTATTATTATATAATTTTTACTGTATTGAGAGATATTTGGTGTGTGTTGGAGAAAAGGTTTCATAGCATGTTTTTCGGTTGTGTGATGGGCACGACGGAATTTTGGAAATCAATGTTCGAAAGCAAGATCATTTATCCATAACCAAAGAGAATTGAGATGTATTTTCTGCCATAAGACTACGAGATCATTGGTCACTAAGAAAAGATCACAACTTCAATCAGACATTTTATTACAATTAAAAACAAATGTCAATGACACATGCTGATATGGTGAACGGGGTTAGTGTTTAGAAATACGACCTCTAATAAAAAATACGTTTCACGCTTTTTCCTCACAGATTTCCAAAATCTTTCTTCACAAATCCATTCGTAATATTGATATCGAATATATAGGATCAACCAGTAGGAATATAATGACTCAGACTGAGGAATCGGAGAGTCGAGTTCGAATCTCAATCAAGTTCATTGCATTCACTTCAAAGGTATGAATCCGTCACTTACCCCTAGCTATAGATAAAGAGCAGAACAAACTGGGTCTTTTAGCCTTGGTTGGCAACCATTCTAGGAGAAGGGAAAACTCTGAATTCAAACAACACTTTTGGTCTTGCCTCCCAGGAGTTAACCTCAACATCAAAATGAACCATCATTGCACTATTCTGCCTTGAATGTTGCCATGAACCACAATTGTGAGATGGAGGCGTAAAATGCGCTAACTGAATAAATGATGATGATGATGATGATTATGATGATGATGACGAATGACCAGCTGGTAGAGCAAGTGGGAAAATGTGAGAGTGGACTTCAATGATACATTTTTATGAGGTAGCAGACAGGAAAAAAGAAGGGTAAAAAAAGAATGATGACGCCTTACAGAACTCTACTGATACCCTTCCCCTATAAAATATAAATAAATATCAAAACAACCAACTTCCTCGTGGCCAGTACCTGTTGGTGTCAACAGCCTTCTAAAAAATTCTCTTCAGCTGGCTAAACTTGGAATTGAGAGTTGTCTCTCACCTAGACTAGTTGCTAACCATGGCTAGAGAGCCCAATCTGCATTTCTATTTAACCCATGCCTGAGGGGAAAGGAGATGAGACGGATTAATACCTTTCCAATTTGTAATTGAACTTGGGCCGCCAATTTCTCCATCCGAGACGCTAACCTGCACACCCAGTAAAAACTACGCCATTTTGATTATCGTGGCAAATCATGGCTGAACTGAGATCCATCAGATTCAAAGTCTTGACGAAGTAAGCACTGTTTTCTGAGACGAGCTCAACTTGTACCCAAATTTGACTTAACGTGCACTCTACACAGTTCGTGAAATAGAACTCGATGCACGTTATACGAGATATATTTATCACCTATGGCAGTGGTTATTAAATCTTTCTTCTATAACACCCTTTTTAAGATATTTGTGCAAACTGGCTCCGTCGATATTAACATTACACTATTAAATGGATCAGAGTTAATGCAAGAGTATTAATATCACGTGCTTATGCTTTGTTGCATTATTATCACCGAGAATAAGCTGTGACGGAAACAGTCAATCGACAGTCACCGGGTCAGACAGGTGATGTTTAGATATTTCGGTCGGGTGACAATGATCAGGTTTCAAAGATGCCAATTCTATGCAATGGTTCCCTACTTCTCCAGATATTAATTCATTAGAAAAAAAATATGGTTTATCATTAAAAGAGATGTGCATGGGAATGGGAAAATATTTTAGACAATAATATATTTGGAAGGATTATTCTCAATGGCATAAAATATCTAAAATATTTTATGCCATTTTCTCAATGGGCATAAAATCAGGTGACAGCAAGAAGGCCTACAACACCTTCAAATCATCCTCCAAGACCAGCCATTCAAGAGCAGTTGACGTAGATGAATAAGAAAGCAAGCTACTTACAGAGAGAGTGGAAATTCTGAATAGGTGAATCAAATACTGCGACGGCCTGAGCAATTACGAACTCCATCCAGATATCTCTTTACTACAAACTGACTAGTACGTCACAGAATGCAAGGACAGTCAGAAGCATCAGTAAGGAGCCTGAAACCTGGAAAGTCACCCGCAGTGTACAATGTATCCTCCGAACTGGTGAAAAATGGAGGTGAAGAAACTATCAAGGCCCTAACAACTCTGTCAGCGGATTTATGAAGAGAAATGGTCAAAAGAGCGGACCCAGTCACTGCTGATAATCCTACCAAAAAAGAGTAATCTGGAGAACTACTGTCAGAAGAACAGGCAGGTTTTAAAACCTGACGGAGCAAAATGAAACAAATTCTCAACGGTAGGGTCCTCATCGAGAAATATCTGTAAAACAATGTCAACGGAAAACATTAGTTCGAGAAGGCGCAAGGGGTTAACCTCTTGGAGGTTGGCATCAGCAAAAAGGTTATCTAAGATGTTTAATATAATATAAATATATCCTAAAAGTTTTACATATATCGATTGGTTATTACGAATTTTATTGCGAAACAAAGATTTTCAGGATAAATTCTAATAATGCCACTTCACTGTTTCTATATGCAAGAGAATAATAGATTTATCGGTAAATATTGGTTTTCTTACCCGTGCGCTAATATCCCTTAAATTTTTCCCCAAATCGTCATAATTCCGTGCAAATGTACATGCTGAACTCGAATTAACAGTTAAATCACGAAGAAACCTTACCGTTTTTGGAGTTATCGACAAGAAGAAATCGGACTTCTTTTTGGTCATTCGTCCCCCATTACTGCCATCATGAATCTCGATTCAATGCGGGATACCTACGCCGGCGTAAATTTGGCCTATTTACTTCTTTTACAGACTTTCCTTGCGGAAAATCACTACGCACGGATAACAAAACCAATATTAACCGATTTATCATGTAAAATAGTTAAATTTTGCGTTACACACTTTTTCTTATATCAGTTATCAGAATATTATTTTCTTTTTATTTATAATTATTTGTGAATTCATAAAAGTCAGGCATCTAGTTTCTGATCTTGTTCACATTCGTTTGCCTGGTTGGTTGTTTTTGTTAAGAACTTAAGCGGCATATCAATCTCTATGTGTTTTATTTAATAATAAAATCTAAATATTTTTTTGTACGCATTTTTTTTTATTTTTTTAGAAATAATAATATTTTCAGTGATACAAGTCTGACTAATTCATCGATAGCTGTAGGGAGAATAGGTGGATTCATAACTTTCCCAAGGCTATTTGTGCATAAGTGAATATAATGAACCCAACTGAATTTGGAACTAAACTCTCCGATTCAAAATTCTGAGCCATTATCCATTACACAAACCATAGATCCAAGCTGGTATTCACAAGTGATCACCCATCTAGGTATTGACCAGGCTCGAATTTGCTTAATTTCGGCGATCGTACGGGAACCGGTGTTTCAATCTGATGTGACCGTAAGCTTCGTTTACTTGAGGGAAAGAAGCGATGAAAATGATATAAGGGAGATAACTCCTTAAAATATTTTAGAAATTACTTCCCCTGAATTAATTTTTTTATTAATGAATGTGTTTTTTTTTAAATGTATAAGAATGTTGTTTTTCACACTTAGAGGCAGTTTTTATGTGTTATTTTAAAATTGCACAAAAAATCATCTTGCTTTTCTTTCTTTACACTTGGAATTTTATTATTTGTAAGAGATAACAAAAATATGGCACACGTTCAATTTGTAAAACTGCTAAATGTATCTACGATTTATGAGGCCAGTAAAACTATGCATCAAGATTTAACAATAACAGTCAAAGAAATCAATGCTAGTCAAGCATTATTCAAGATGAATTTGTCTTACACTTCCTAATATTTTGTTCAGGACCTTTAGGGAAACAAAATTCATATTTGATTCACGAAACTGGTAAAAATATCAGTAACAAGAAAAAAAGAACTTTAGAAAACGTGTGCAGTTATGTAATGAAGACATATTTCAATAGGAAAACGGCTTGTAAGCTGCACCACGTGGCAGAGGAGGAGGCAGATTTAGCCTCAGGCCAGGAAATGCTCGGTTTAACTCCTGGTAGCTGACTGAGTGACTGACTAAAGGACTAACCACAGTTGTCACTATATGCAGTGACGTCGCTAAGCGGCCGCCAAGTGACCGATATGATACATCTCGATCAAAGGAAGATAATCGCCTTTTGTATCCCGGCATTTGATTATTTAAATCAATTTTCTAATTTAATGAGGAAATCAAACCGAGGAAATATTTCAGTAACTTGTTTTAACCCAACTGGATTAACACAAGTTAATAAAATAGATGAACTTGTTTATCAATATTTCTTCACTTCGCCTTTTCCATGTTTAATCTTTTTCTATTTTGGGGGCAATTATTTGGGGTCGTTACGTAATTTCTACCGGTAGCGGACTGGCCAGAGTGTCATCTTGCCCAATGTGTTCTTTTGGGGTCAGTTTGCTGTATTCGTTTATTACACTTATGACCAGCGATATGTGGCAAGATTAACAGCTACTGTTTCACAACCGCTATCTCGTAACAACTGCGCATGTCAAGATGAAATAATATAGAACCAGCTTATACCTTCTGGTATAATGTAATGTTACAAGACGTAATTATCTGCCCTTGACACAGCTATAATTTATGCACATGTCCAATGATACGAAGCATGAAATTAAGTCGTCTAACAAGTTGATACCTGTTTCACAAAACGACATATCACAACTCGTTGGATGCTCCATACATTTGGCCTTGTGCTACGCCTAAGCTATGCTTAGTAAATAAAAAATGAGTATGTAGAGATTTACCGGGATATTCATAGTGCTTATGTACCGGAAACATGAGCATTAAAACGAACTGACTCAACAGTATAAACAAATAATATATATTTATCTATTTGATTTAGATTGGAGTGAGTTTTTAGTAATTGGTGGTAACAAAAGTTCGTTCATAAGTCCGATCTTGGTAGCAGTCGGGAGGAAGTCTATTTCGGTTCGATAGTGGATAGTTTCATAGTCAGAACTTGGTAGTACTAGTCACCTTAGAAATAGATCAGTGTCAATCTGATGTTTTTCTCGGCCCTAAGAAGGGCAGAAAATATCATTAGCAGATGACCTCTTAAACCTCTTCGCGCGTAACGCATGGTTGGTTTCTCAGGCGGTCCCTTCTCCTCGTCTGGCTTAGGGCCGTAAGCTTATATCCTTTTGTCCAGTCTCCAAGACTACTGGCGCGAACTTTGGTTTCGGCTAACACCAAAAGTCTCTTTGAGTTAATTTCCTGGATTGGCCAAAATTATTTTATTCTCAGGAGTTCATTTCTTTGTTATATATATATATATATATATATATATATATATATATATATATATATATAGCGAAAGTTATTTGCGGATGTGTGATGATTGTGTGTTGGAGAGGAATAGAAGGTTTGAATTATCAGAAGGCTTAAAATTGTGTGTGTTCGATAATCTTCCATCCACAACAATTAATACAAGATAGAGAATAAAGATTCATAAACATATTGTTTCAAAACGTAACAATTGAATTTATGAGTGTTTGATATACATGCATGAATACTGAGTGAAAAGGTTAGACAGAGTTGTGTCTCTTAGATTAGGTAATATTTGTACCTAAGTTCATAAAGTGAAAGTAATTATTAAACTGTAGTTTAGAAGAATAAAGTTTCTTTAGCATGTTTGGAATTGTGTATTGTACAAGTTGGTAAAAGTTCCGAAGAGATTTCAGAATTCGTACTTGCGTGAATGTTGGTAATGGTCTTTAACGTCTGATTACATTAGTTAAGACGGGAGTTCTTGAAGATTACATCTTGGCAGCAAGGAATGAGACGCCAGAAAGATGAATGAAAAGAAACACGAGGGAGTTTACACGTGTTTCTGTTTTTATAACTTTGCTGTACCACGTGACAGGCTCAGATGGAAAACGCCGGAAAACAGATTTGTCGCGTGCAGGATATCTGATTGGTCGGAATTGACCAATCAGCGAGCTAGTTTGAAGGTGATTAACCAGTGAATGCTTGTCTATGCACTGTGTTTATGTAATGTGGTGGTAATTACCATAGAGGGAGAGTGCATTTTCCAATTGGGTATAACTGGCTGACGTGGAAGATTCCACAAAGTTATGTGTTGTACCTCCCTGATTTTTGGTAGTTTTTAATCTCAAATGACTACACACTGGTCCAGCAAAATTCCGCCGTTTTGCGGCCGTATTCAGTCTTTTCTTATCCCGCTTTTTTATTTGAGGGTTGCCTTCTTGTTAGTTGAGAGAGATGGTTAGAGAGAGAGAAAGGGAGAGAAAAAGATAAGTGTTTTAAAAGAAAGCGCAAATGCTTTATTTTAATTTTAATTTTTTTTATTTCTGTTTATGTCTTTCATTTTTTTTTTTTTATCATTATTCACTACAAGTTTGATACCTTTTGGCTGGCAGGTTACATTATGTCTCTCTGTTGCGTCTCTATCTTCGGACAGAAAAATCTTTGAGGTATTCCTAGTCCTGGGAATTCCAACCTTGCGGCAGAACCTCCCTCATTACGCCAAAGGGCATCGGTGAAAGCAGAATGGTGGTTGCGGGTACAGGATAATTTGGGGCCTTAGCCTAGGTGCACGCACTTTAAACTTACCTTGTGCCACATCACGCCGCACTCTGTCGGCTGAGGCTTCTGAATACGCCGACTGCATGTCTGCAGTGGAGTAAGACCTCGCCCCTCCAATTGAGGCGTCCTGGTTATGACGATAAACTACATCCGGCAGTAAGGCCTCTAATCAGGAGGTTCTGAGGAGCCTGGAACCACCTCTTAATTGCTGTCGTTCGCAAGTTCACCCTGATTCATTCATTTCACGGAATGGTATAGTAGGTTATTTAAGCGTATAAAAAAAATTTGTGAACTGACCAACATCGATAATATAAAAAAAGGGAAAGAAAGGCAGAAATTTAAACCATTTAGTCAATGTATAAAGCTGAAAAATCGTTTACTATTCATAGAAATTAAATATAAAAGAATAAGGAGGAAAATGGAAGTAGGTTGTAGTAACTTAAAACAAATCTAAATTTAAAGCTAATGAATAATTATTTTATAGCTGCTAAAAAGAGCTTCTTTAGAATTAAAAGTTCTAATTCGGACTTCAAAAGATCGATTCGACAACATGCGATAAGTTGCTATAGAAAATAAACACCTATACTGAAAAGAAATGCCTTAGATTTACTGACCAATCAGAATGACTACCCAAAACAGCTTATTTGATCAAACTACACTTTATTATAAGGAGCGCTGTTCATAAGTAGAGCCAGAGTCGAGTCCGTTGGTTCGTCTTTCCGAGCCGCACACACACATCACACACACACACACGCACACAGGTCATCCAAGAGAATCATACTCTTACATGCACTCGCAGCGTTCATATGGCTTACTTTCTTCAGCGACTGACTGTCATTTCTTGCGTTTTTTGTTCAGTAAATATTCATTTCATTCCACGCCGTCTTAAAAAAAAAATATGATTTCGTATCATTTGTTAAAAACAATTATTTAAACTCTTGTTGAAACCAAAAATTTTGTCTTCTCGTGTTTTTGTTCACGCGTTATTTGAATTTAATTTCACCCTCCATCTTCTCTCAGTTATCACAAGGTTATGTTTTTGTTGGTGGAAAACAGTTTATCTAGAGTTAGAATTAAGTGATTGTCAACTCCTCCACAAAGTAAAGATGGAATAGCTTTCAAGGCTCAAAAGAAACTCACGGCCTTTTTTTCAGGGTCGAAGAGAGAGTTTTAAAAATTATATATAAAAAGTTACACATATGGTTCTCAGTACTTCGGTTTGTCAGTAACAAGGATTTGTGGAGCCAATTCTCTCTTAGGAGCTTCCGGCAAATACCTTCAAGGAAGTAAAAGAAAATTATATTGCCTTTATTGAAACGGCGTTTCCTCTGAATATTTTCTGAAGGAGTTGCCAACGCTATTGAACAGTAGAGACAAGGAGGTGAACATTTTGGAAGTTTTAAGTTTAAGAAATGGACATTAACCGTGTTGACGACCCGTGATTAACAAAGCTATTTCTTAAGATAGTTGGCCTCATGTTACACTGAAGTGTCCAGTCTGATCGATTTCTTGTCTCACACACTATGATCGATGGCTTTCAGCTATTCAAATTTAAAGGAAATGAATAGGCTGTGTGCCGTGTCCGTCCAGGACGTTGGCGATCATAGCTCTCCACAGTTTCCTGTTCTTTGTAGCTCTTAGTAAATTTTGTTTTTGCTATCTCTCCTAAACTCGGTTCCGCCATCCATTTACAGCTCATTAAGTTGGTTATGCAGCTTTTTCCTCTGTCCCGTTTGCCTTCATTCTGTCCTGTGAGTATCAACTTTTCCAAACCCTCTTTCCTTATTATGTGCCCTAGAAATTTCAACTGTCTCTTCCTCATGTTACTTCGTCGTTGTTCACATGT